TACAGCAATCGCCCATCCAGTTAATATAGAGATCAGTGATTGAGTCTGAATTCAATGATTTCCACAAATGAATGCGTAGGAGGAAAAAAGTTATCATTCGCCTCGCCAGAAATGATAAATCTGGTGCAGGTGGAAAATCGCACTGTTATCCAAACCGCTTTTCAATCAGGATAGAGGATAGAGGCTCCTCAAACGATCTCATTGACCAATACACATCAAATTTGGAGATGGTTCTCCCAATAAATTCGCCACTCTGATAAAAAGAACAATCTTTATGTAGCAAACTATTTAAATATAACTTTAGAGATACCAACTTTACCTCATGAGTTCTCGGCGAGAGACATGAAAAATGGCGAAAACAGCTCATTCAAAAGAAGACGACGAGACACTAAATTATTAAGACGACGAAATGCGAGTTTCAAATCATTTCTTCATATACTTATTCGGACGTAGGTCCCGAAGGGAGATTCGACAGTTTACAGAAATCCAGTCTTATATTCATATGTACATCCTCACTACTCTATTCTCACATACATTTTCAATAACTTTTCTTCCTTTATCTCTTTCATTATACTAACTCGCTACAAACATAACCTAAAATTTTTTGCAGCTAAGGTCCATTTTTCCGTGAAAGGCCAAAGCAGAATAGAAACGTAACCGAAATCATAACCGCAATTGCAAACGGAAAAATTAGTTAGAGAAGGATAGGTATGTTGTTTATCTGTCTCTACCTCATTCTTCCGTTTACGTTTTCGATTTCAGTTACGTTTTCTATTCCGCTTCAACCTGCAGCGTCGCAAATTAATTTGCGAAATCGTTTTACTAAATGACTCCCCATGGGGAGTCATTTGAGATACATTTGGGAGACATTTAGTAAATTGCTTTATAATTCGGTTAAAAGACAAAATTTGATGAAAAAAACGATAGAAAGATGAAAAGTAGCATTTAAAGAATGAAATTATGCAAAGATTTTTATAAAGAAAGCTTTAAATAATTAATAATTAACTGAAATGTGCATAGATTTCATTGAGATTTTATAGCAAGGTTATTTTTCATAATTACTTATGAAAACGATGTAAATAAAGGAAAAAATAATTTACATTGGTAAAAGAATGTAAAAGTATTAATTATGTATATGAATAAGACTAATTAGACCATAAAATAGTTGTAATCATGTTGTAATTTAATTAAATGCAAATGGTAAAGTGATATTAAAGTAATATCTACTTTACCAACAACTTATTCTATTTCAGCATTAGAAAGACACTAGAAACAATCAAAAGTCCCTAACGGCAGATATCCCCGCGCGGCGTTTGGTTTGACGCAATATTCTACAGGGTGTTCTTTTTTTAATGATGGTAGAGAAATGCTACTATTATATTAAAGTACCTTACGGTTATTATTTCTAATTGTAAAATAATTACCGTTTAAATTTTTTAATTATAGTCACCATCAATATTTTCTAAAAATTAAATATTCTCACCTTTTTTCCAGGGCATGTTCCAAATATAGAAAAATTGCATTTAGTAAAAAGGAGGAGTTTAAATATTATTTTTATTGGCCAAAAGTCTCTATCCTTTTTCTCTTTAAAAGTTAAAATAAACATTATATTTTTTTAAAAATGATAAATATTCTTAGAATTTTTATCAATGGAGCAACGAATAAAAACATTGCGCTTTTTGTAAATAGGAGGAGGAAATATTTAATTTATAAAAAATAAAACATAATCCCAACCCCCAAAGAAAAAATTGATGCTTTTAGACGAATAAAAATAAGAAACAAACTCCTCCTATTTTCAAAATCAATTTTTCTATTTGTTGGTTAAGTTAAACAAAATGGAGAAAATACTTAATATATGAAAAATAAAACATATAACCTCAACCCCCAAAAGAAAAAATGGTTGCTTTAGACCAATCAAAATAATAAACAAACTCCTCCTATTTTCAGAATCAATTTTTCTATTTGTTGGTTAAGTTAAACAAAATGGAGAAAATACTTAATATCCTTTAGAAAAATAGGCACGAGTGAGAAATCTCGAATTTAAATCGAAAATAATCGAATGTACTCTCGCAGTTATAGCAATGAAAATGAAACATAGAAGGGCACACTCACATTTCCAAATCTAAAGAAATATAGTACTTTAAAAACTTACACATAGCTAGAAGATGGAGCTACAGTCGCTCTTTTCAATATCATTATGAAGTGACAATTTTTATTTTAATCAACTTAACATTAATAGTTCTGACAGTTGGCACAGCCTAAAGTCATCAAAGAAGAAGAAGAACTTAACTTTAAAAAAATTAAATAAAAATTTAGGTAATTTTAAATGAGTCACAATAAACAATTTAAAATTAAATAAAAGGAACAATTTGAATAGAAAAAAAGAAGAAAGCAAAGAAGTCGACCGCGAAGCGGTCGACGAAGCGCTAGTATGAAAAATAAAACATATAACCTCAACCCCCCCCCAAAAAAATGGTTGCTTTACACCAATTAAAATAATAAACAAACTCCTCCTATTTTCAAAATCAATTTTTCTATTTGTTGGTTAAGTTAAACAAAATGGAGAAAATACTTAATATATATGAAAAATAAAACATATAACGTCAACCCCCAAAGAAAAACGGTTGCTTCAGACCAATCAGAATAATAAACAAACTCCTCCTATTTTCGAAATCAATTTTTCTATTTGTTGATTAAGTTAAACAAAATGAAGAAAAGAATAATATTTTTATAATAAAACATATAATCCCAACCCCCTAAGAAAAAATGGATGTTTTAGACCAATCAAAATAATAATCAAACTCTTCCTACATAAAGAAAGAAAATTTTCTATTTGTCGCTACAGTTAAACAAAATATGAAGCGAATATATAAAATTTAAGCTCAACCCTTTACAAAAAATATACTTCTAGCCAATAAAAATAAGATTCAAACTCCTCCTTCTTAAAATTAAAGTTTACTATGAACTATACAAAAATAAAATAGATTGAATCTCCTCCTATTTTTTCGGAAAGGGTTGTGGTTAAATTTCATATTTTTTTAAAGTTTAATATTTTCTCCATTTTGTTCTATTGAACACACGAAGGAAAAATATCTTTCATTCAGAAGGAGGAGTTTAAGTTTTATTTTAATATTGGTTTAAAACATGTCGATTTTTTCTTTTGGGGGTTGGAAAAATATGTTTTATTTTTTAAATATTAATTTTTTCTTCATTTTGTTTAACTCAACCAATTAATAAAACATTGCATTTTGAAAATAGGAGGAGTTTATTTTTATTGGTCAGAAGTTTTTTTTTCTTAATGGGTTAAGACTAAATGTAACTTTTTAAAAATTAAATATTCACTCCCTTTTTGTATTGTTGAACCAATCAATAAAAAATTTGCTTTCTTTAAGCAGGAGGAGTTTGAATCTAATTTTTATTGGCTAGAAGTATATTTTTTGTAAAGGGTTGAGCTTAAATTTAATATATTCGCTTCATATTTTGTTTCACTGAAGCGACAAATAGAAAATTTTCTTTCTTTATGTAGGAAGAGTTTGATTATTATTTTGATTGGTCTAAAACATCCATTTTTTCTTAGGGGGTTGGGATTATATGTTTTATTATAAAAATATTATTCTTTTCTTCATTTTGTTTAACTTAATCAACAAATAGAAAAATTGATTTCGAAAATAGGAGGAGTTTGTTTATTATTTTCATTGGTGTGAAGCAACCATTTTTTCTTTGGGGGTTGAGGTTATATGTTTTATTTTTCATATATTAAGTATTTTCTCCATTTTGTTTAACTTAACCAACAAATAGAAAAATTGATTCTGAAAATAGGAGGAGTTTGTTTATTATTTTGATTGGTCTAAAGCAACCATTTTTTCTTTTGGGGGTTGAGGTTATATGTTTTATTTTTCATATATTAAGTATTTTCTCCATTTTGTTTAACTTAACCAACAAATAGAAAAATTGATTTTGAAAATAGGAGGAGTTTGTTTCTTATTTTTATTCGTCTAAAAGCATCAATTTTTTCTTTGGGGGTTGGGATTATGTTTTATTTTTTATAAATTAAATATTTCCTCCTCCTATTTACAAAAAGCGCAATGTTTTTATTCGTTGCTCCATTGATAAAAATTCTAAGAATATTTATCATTTTTAAAAAAATATAATGTTTATTTTAACTTTTAAAGAGAAAAAGGATAGAGACTTTTGGCCAATAAAAATAATATTTAAACTCCTCCTTTTTACTAAATGCAATTTTTCTATATTTGGAACATGCCCTGGAAAAAAGGTGAGAATATTTAATTTTTAGAAAATATTGATGGTGACTATAATTAAAAAATTTAAACGGTAATTATTTTACAATTAGAAATAATAACCGTAAGGTACTTTAATATAATAGTAGCATTTCTCTACCATCATTAAAAAAAGAACACCCTGTAGAATATTGCGTCAAACCAAACGCCGCGCGGGGATATCTGCCGTTAGGGACTTTTGATTGTTTCTAGTGTCTTTCTAATGCTGAAATAGAATAAGTTGTTGGTAAAGTAGATATTACTTTAATATCACTTTACCATTTGCATTTAATTAAATTACAACATGATTACAACTATTTTATGGTCTAATTAGTCTTATTCATATACATAATTAATACTTTTACATTCTTTTACCAATGTAAATTATTTTTTCCTTTATTTACATCGTTTTCATAAGTAATTATGAAAAATAACCTTGCTATAAAATCTCAATGAAATCTATGCACATTTCAGTTAATTATTAATTATTCAAAGCTTTCTTTATAAAAATCTTTGTATAATTTCATTCTTTAAATGTTACTTTTCAACTTTCAATCGTTTTTTTCATCAAATTCTGTCTTTTAACAGAATTATAAAGCAATTTACCAAATGTATCCCAAATGTATCCCCACGTGGGGAGTCTTTTGGTAAAACGATTTCGCAATAACAGTAATTACAAAATTAGAATAAATATTTACTTTCGCCATTTATTTATTTCTTCAGGAAGTAACTGCCGTTGACGAACAGAGCAAAGTGGAAGTCGTAAAACCGCGTCCAAAGCCAACAGCAACCTGGCCACCGCCACTTCCGACGCATCCTCCACATCACACGATTCCTCCAATTCCAACGCATCCGCCGAGTTTTGCCGGTGCCACTGCCGCCAGTTCCACTTCAAAACCACCATTCTCCCCATCGTCGCCATCGTCACAAAAACCAACGAGCGCCACATGGCCCACAAAGAAACCAGCCTACTGGCCAGCCGGTATTCCCACATTATTGCCTGGATTACCATCGGAAGCGCCACTAGCGCCAAGTAAACCGCCGCCCACATCAATTCCAACCATTGCATCGCCAATTGATTCTGGTTATTGTGGCTCGAAAAATGGTCCGCAAAAAATTTCCGACTCCGATCGTATTGTCGGTGGTCATAGTACAAAAATTGGCGAATGGCCCTGGATTGTTGCACTCTTCAATGCTGGCCGACAATTTTGCGGTGGTTCGCTAATTGATAATATTCACATTCTCACAGCCGCTCACTGTGTTGTCAAGTATGAGAACATTTTTTCTATAAATAATTAAAAAATATATATTAAACTTTTTGCATCTGTGACGCTTTCCGATGCAACATAACCTATAAATTTTTACCGCATCCATGAAATATAAGAATAACCCCTTCCCAGTCAAGACCAAAATCTCATAAGTGGGCTCAAAATGTCGCCAACTTTTTAGAAAACTAAAATTTGCGCAAACGAGCACACTATTGTATTTGAAGTCGCTGATTACGAATCAGATATCAGATTTTGAAAATTCAAAATGGCGGATCCAATATGGCGGACATGAAAATTTAAAATCGACTGAATTCACTTGAAACTTGTTACTCAGGGGTTTTCGGGGTCGCTGATTATGAATCCGATATCAGATTTTAAAAAATCAAAATGGCGGATCCAATATGGCAAATGAAATTTTCTAAAATTCATCGGATTCATTTGAAACTCGTTACTAGAGGGTTTTCGCTGATTACGAAAACTTTTGAAATGATAATAAATACAAAATTTTTCCCGCAGTCAGCCAATTTGAATTTTTAAAATCTGAAATTGGATTCGTAATCAGCGACCCTAAAACCCCCGAGTAACGAGTATTAAATGAATCGGACGAGTTTTTTAAAATGTCGTCCGCCATATTGGATTCGTCATTTTCAATTTTCAAAATCTGACATCAGATTTGTAATCAGCGACCCCGAAAACCCCTGAGTAACAACTTTTAAGTAAATCCGATGAATTTTTGAAAATGTCCGCCATATTGGATCCGACATTTTTAATTTTTAAAATCTGATATCGGATTCGTAATCAGCGACCCCGAAAACCTCCGAGTATCAATTTGTGGACCAATCTGTGTGTTTTTGTAGACAAAAATCTGCTTGCGTCTATACACGTCATCGACAGTTTGAGCCCTCCTGCACCATGACGTGTATACACGTCATCGACTGCCAAGGGGATAAGGAGACTTTACTCTATGTGAGGAATACATAAAAAGTGACCCCATTCTCTATAACGTCATTCAGGAAATTCGAATAGACAGAGGTGGCGTTGCTTGCGTGAAAGACAGGAAACTGTCGATTTTTACGATTTTAACCTATTAAATTCGTCTGCTACTAATATAAACAACAACCTAGCTTATGATAATACACATTGTGACATTTCAAACAATATTTTTGATTGTTTGCAGAATTTGTTGATATCGAATGAACATGACAATTCTATCATCTACATAAATTTTTACCTTCTTATTATAAAATACTGCAAGCTGCAACTCTCTTTCTCATGTCAAAATTATCCTCAACTCTTTGAAATCTAAAAAAGTTATTTCCTCTTGTAAGGTAAAAGCACCAGTACTTGGACACTTTTAAGATAGAAGCAAATTTAGCAACGATTTTTACAAAGATAGTATACCCAGTAAGAAGTAAGGAATTGAGAAGAATTGGACATTTTTAACTTTTTACAGAAAATGTTAAATTATCAATTTTTTTGAATTCCGTTTCTGTCCAATTCCTATGTATCCTTTTTTGAGGCAAAGATTTCTTGAAAGTGAATTCCAATCAATTCCGTTTTAATATTTCTTTAATTTTTGAATTTTTGTGAATTCCAAAATACTGTGTGATACTCGGTAAGTTCAATTCCTGTCTATTCCGTTTTAATATTTTGTAATTTTTTAATTCCTTTGAAGTTTGCAACACTTTGAGATAAGTGCTTCTAAAATTCGGTAGTCATAGTACAGTTTTAATAGCTGAGCGGACAAGCTGTTTGTCTCCGACAATGAAGCTTGAGGGTTCAAATCTTCGAACCATCAAATTTTTTTTCCGCTTAAAATATTAAAACGGTATTCAAAAGAATAAACTTAGCTTCTTTTCGGCTTCTCCAAATGAAAATGAAAAGAATTGGTCACAAACGGAATTCAAAAGAATTAAAAATTTCGAATTCTTATTAATTCCTTACTTCTTACTGGGTAGTTTTACTTGACAAACTTTTTATATTTTGTTTGTATTATGATAAAAGAATTCAAATTAAAAGAAATTAGTCTAAATTTTTACTTTAGTTAAATATAAATCTAGAAAATAACTAATTGCTTCTTTACCGTAATAGTTGGACATGCCTTTTTAGAGGATCCAGTAGTTGGACACGATAAGGACATTATAATAAAATACGCATGATATTTATTTGCCTATAATGTTTATATTTGTATATTAGTTAATATTGTCAACTATTAAATTTATTAGTTAGTCATTTTATGTTAATTAATTCATTATTTAATTAGATTAAAGCCTGTTAAGTTTTTGACCAACTACACTGTAAAAAAGGGAGTTAAATTTTAACTCCCCAGGGGATTCTATAAAAGTCGCACCCATTGGAGAGTTAATGCCAGGGGAGTTAAATAAAGAGAGTTAAAATTTAACACCCAAGTGCTAACTCCCCATGGAAAAAATAACTCGCGCGGGTGTTGAATGAAGGGAGTTAGAAATTAACTCTCTTTTGGAGTTGATTTTTAACTCGAAAAATTTAACTCCCGAGTCCGTTAACTCCCTAAATTTTTTACAGTGTACTGATGCTGCTGGTTTTTGAGGTTACGAAGCAGAAGGTAAATTTGGACACTTATTTTGAGTAGTTCGAGACTTATAAATTTTTTTTTGATAAATTTTGTGCGTAGAAATTAAAAAATTGAATTATATCCAACAGAGATCCAAAAGCTAACATTCAAAAAGGGCATATATTATTTTTTCATTTACATTAAAAGCAGTTTTAATTCTTTTTGTTACTGTCCATCTATTGGTTCCATTTTTTGCAATGTCCACGTACTGGTGCTTTTACCTTAAAACACCCCTTTTCACAAGGCATTAATTAATAAATTTAATTTTTAAATATGTAATTAAAATATTCAGTCAAAAATATAGGTTATAGAAAGAATTTATAACACATACTTACTTCGAAATTATTTTGATTCATGAATTCATGATGGATGTAATCTTCTTTAAAACAAAACGTTTCTTTTCACAAACAATTTATTGTAATAATTTTTTTGAATTATTACAAATTATGCAAAAAATAAAAAATATTATTATAGAGAATGGGGACAGTCTTGACATTAGAGTGAAGTCTCCTTATTCTTATTACTTTATGGCAGCGTCCTGATGCGGCAAGAAATTATAGGTTATGTTTATGAATGTTTCTGCTTGATCTAAGATTAATTATTAATTACTTGAAGTCAAAGCCAATTTTTATAAATTATTTACTTTATAAAATAGTTAATAAATATTTTTTTTTACTTTAGGTAATTAAAATTTAATATTTAATTGAGCAAACACCGCTCGTAAAAACTTATTATATAACCTTAAAATGCTGACATGTGTTAATATAATCTTTAGGCTTAAAATGTTTGCAGCATATTAACATTCTGTCATTCAATTTTTTGCCTATTTTTAAGGCAATTTCCCATTCTTTTATTCTTTTTAAATCCTTTGGCACTGTATGCAAATGATTTTCAGCACTTTTAATCTCAGAACACTGAGGCACACAACAGTTATGACGATCAGACTTTTTTCCGATTTACGTTCATAACAGGTCTTCCATTTAGATTTTTTAATTTTTTTAATAAATAATTTTGTTTATTTGTTTGACGAAATATAAATAAACTGTATATTATACAATTAAATTATTAATTTTATTAAAATCATTAAAAAGTTTAAGTAAATAACAAACAGAATTATAGACAAGCTGTTACGATTATATTAGTTCAACATTTGACTGGCAGTGGCGCTGCTTGAACTGTTTGAATTGACAATTAAATAATCAGTAACTTTTCGAATACCTTGTTTACAAGCTATTGTTCCACAGCATGAATTCCTGGGATGTAGCAAGATTGACGGTACGACTTGGCGATCATAATATAAAAACAAGTACGGAGGTTCGTCACATTGAGAGACGAGTGAAACGTGTCGTTCGCCATAAAAACTTCAATTCACGAACTCTCTATAATGACGTGGCACTTTTGACTCTCAATGAGCCCGTTGAATTCTCCGAGCAAATACGACCAATTTGCCTGCCGTCAGGTCGCGATCTCTACAATCATCAGGAAGCCACCGTCATTGGCTGGGGCTCACTTCGAGAAAGTTCGTTTTTTTATTTTATATTAAAGACGTAAACAGAATAAAACGGGAAACGAACGCAAGCATGAGATCTCATGCTTGCGTTCGCTTCCCGTTTTATTCTGCTTAGGACTTTAGAAATATCTCGCAATATTGAAGAAATATTTGTGACGCGCTTCAAACAAAGAAATATTAACTAGGAAGCAAATCATTTTAAGGTTATGTTGGTGTAATTCTTAAAGGCCAACGCACGTGAATGTCGTTTCTGTTCTTTGATTCAAAAAAATACAAACATAATCTACTTTTTGCTCTTAGCACCTTTCTTCGGAGCGTGTCACAATTTTTTTATGACGAAATAAAAATTTTTATTAAATAAGAAATTTTTTTGATGAAATTTTATAACTATATTGGCTAAATTATTTTTGACTTTTTGATACACCCAGATGCATTAATGCTGTCCCTCCGGTTTATAGGCGATTTAAAAAGTAGTGACACATCTACAAAAATGTTGTTAGTTTGTGACATATAAGTTCGTTTTTTACGTCACGAACTAACAGCATTTTAATAGATATATCACGACTTTTTAAAACGCCAACAAACCGGAAAGACAGCATTAATGCATCTGGGTGTATAATTGACATATATAATAGGGTGGTTCTTATTTGGGCGATGTTTTCAAATCTTCGGTCTCACCCCAAAAATTAATTAAGGTATAAAAAAAATTTTTCCTGAAAGTTTGATATTAACACGTGCCTCTAGTCGACTGAAATTTTAAATGGAAAATACATGTAATTTTTCGTGGAAATCACAAAAAGTTTTTTCTAGCTTATACAAATTTATTTACAATTCTCTAACTTTGGGTTCTTTTAGTACATGATAAGAGGTAAAACTTCCAATTTTTCCAAATTTTTTTGAAAGTATTTACTCCATTTACAAGCTTGATGAATATGGCGCTATCACAGTAAACAGGACTATATATTAACCTTTGGATGCATACATTTATTCATTCATTTAAATTTGACGAAACTCGGAACTGGGGGGTTTTCGGGTCGCTGATTACGAATCTGAGGTCATTTTTAAAAAAATTCAAAATGGCGGATCCAATATGGCGGACATAAAGAAAAATTTGTTCAATTGGACTGAAACTCAATACTCAGGGGTTTCTGGGGTCGCTGATTACGAATCCGAGGTTAGTTTTAAAAAATTCAAAATGGCGGATCCAATATGGCGGACATAAAAAATAAAAAGTCGTTCAATTGGACTGAAACTCGATACTCGGGGGTTTCTGGAATCGTTTATTACAAATCATTTTAAAAAATGTCATTTTTAAAAATTTCGAAATTGTCGGAGCCAATATTGCTGATATTGTTAATCGTTCTTAGCGTTACCCGGAACTAGCGACGAGGACGAACGAGATTTTAGTTCTATTTTTTTGTTTTTATTTTTTTTGTATTCTTTTGTTTTTATTTTTTTTCGTTTTTTAATTTTTTTGTTTTTTTGTAGTCTCTTTTCGATGGCACATATTAAAATTAAGAAGAAACTCTTAGTCAACTATTTATATGAAAGTCCAGAAAACATTTTCTCTCTTCTGAAAGGCAGAGATACTCAGCCTTCAATGGCATTCAAAAATTTTCTTTTTAAAATCTTAGAAACGCAAAGAACGAGTAAGAATATCCGCGATATTGACTCAGACATTTTGAATTTTTTCAAAATGACATTTTTTAAAATGATTTGTAATCAACGATTCCAGAAACCCCCGAGTATCGAGTTTCAGTCCAATTGAACGACTTTTTATTTTTTATCAAAATGACATTTTTTAAAATGATTTGTAATCAACGATTCCAGAAACCCCCCAGTACCGAGTTTCGTCAAATTTAAATGAATGAATAAATGTATGCATCTAAGGGTTAATATATAAGTCCTGTTTAATGTGATAGCGCCACACGGAAAAAACTGCATGGTTGGGACAACCATATATATTGAAAAATACGGGATATCCATACTTAAGGTTATCACACCCATTTCTATGGATGTGTCAACTAAAGAAATGGATGTGGTATCTATCAAAATGGATGTGGTATCCATAAAAATGGATGTGATAACCTTAAATATGGATATCCCGTATTTTTCAATATATATGGTTGACCCAACCATGCAGTTTTTTCCGTGCATATTCATCAAGCTTGTAAATTGAGTAAATACTTTCAAAAAATTTGGAAAAATTGGAAGTTTCACCTCTTATCACTAAAAGAACCCAAAGTTAAAGAATTGTAGTAAATAAATTTGTATAAGCTAGAAAAAACTTTTTGTGATTTCCACGAAAAATTACATGTATTTTCCATTTAAAATTTCAGTCGACTAGAGGCACGTGTTAATATTGTTCGATTTGCTTCAAACTTTCAGGAAAAAATTTTTTTTATACCTTGATTAATTTTTTGGGGTAAGACCGAAGATTTGAAAACATCGCCCAAATAAGAACCACCCTAATATAAGTAGTAAAAATCATAAAGTTTTGAGAAGTAATCAACTTTTTACTCTTACCTTTTACAAAGGTGGGCCACAACCAGCAGTTTTGCAACAAGTGACAATTAAAATCTGGTCTAACGCCGAATGTAAGGTGAAATACGGAGCAGCGGCACCAGGTGGCATTGTAGACAGTTTCTTATGCGCCGGCCAAGCACAAAAAGATTCTTGTTCTGTAAGTTTTAATTTATTTTAATAGTAAATGCGCATGCGTTAAGAAACAAAGACAAAAGAGGGGTCATTAAAATGAAATAAATAATTATCTCCTTTTTCATCATTGTTATCTTTCTTCTGCTCCTCAGGGCGACAGTGGAGGTCCATTAATGGTGAACGACGGACGTTGGACCCAAGTTGGAATAGTGAGCTGGGGAATAGGATGTGGCAAGGGCCAGTATCCAGGTGTTTACACAAGAGTCACGCACTTCCTGCCATGGATAAGTAAAAATTTAAAATAAAAAAAAATGCCACTGCGTCTCATCAAATCACTTTAATGAAATTGCCAATTTCCTCAAGTCATTCCTCCTTCTATCGTTATCGCACACTATAAAAACAGTCACAAAACGAATACTGAATGTATGCGCAGGAATAGAGTGACTATTGAAAAAAAAGAAATGAAATGAAGACACAGCGTAAAGAACGTTTTACTGATGCAAAGACCATTTCGTTATTAGAGTAAATAAAATTTTTAATTCTCTTCGTTATCTTCAATTGCCATATTTGTCATTATCATATATGAAAATAAAGAAAGGAATGTAGACTTTAGTAATATTTTTAGAAACAAAGAAAAAATATACTTGTAAGTCTTATTTTCAAGTTAATTTTTGTAATGTAGAAAAAATCATCTAGAATTTCGCATATTTTATAAAATATTATTATTATTATTATTATTATTATTAATATTATTATTATGTACGATTTAGTTAAAATAAAAAAAAATTGAAAAAAATCTATTTTTTAAATGTTTTTTTTATTATTAATTTTAGTAAATTATAACATTAACATTTGGTTGAAATAATATTTAAAATCAGAGTGGCGTAAGCGCATTTGCTCCTTGTGATGAATGTTGGTATTTTCGACAGGAGTTACCATAGTAACTTATAGGAATGAGCGAGAGAGAAAATCCAAGTTTTCTAGTTTGTTCACTCCTACACGGAAAGAAAGGAATACACGGAAAGAAAAAGTCCGTCAACCATTAATGGATTAGTATATTACTTTGAGACGGGACTCTTTTTCCGTTGATGGTTACTTAACTTTACTTAACGATTGAAAACGAGTCATGGATTGATTAGAAGGCCAGTATGTGACCAATTGTTTTAGATTTAATGCTGAATTGTTATCAATGGCTGTTTGAATGTTTACGAATCATTAGTGAAAGTTTGTGAAACGTTAGTTGACTCGTATTCTAAATCGGCGCTCTTCACTAGCGCATTGTTGCGCAGTGTACCGATGCGCATTTCTTCCGGTTTCTCTATAGTCCATGTGTTTTTGCTGTCTGCTATACATATCCCTATATACTATTATGTGTAATGTGTCTAAGAGTGTAAATAAAATATCGGAACTGTGCAACGAAAAAAATGTGTTCATTCTGTACCAAATAGTGTCTAAAATTAGGGATAATTCTGAAATCCATATTATATGGCTGGCTGTATATTATTGGAGCAACAAAATATCTATGGTTGGGTGATCCATAGTAATAGAAACAGGAAACAAAAAAATTTGAATCACTTAAATAATTAAATTCAATGTTACTTGAGATATTTTGTACACATTTTTGATAATTAATACACACCACTTATTGAATAACCGCATATTAACGAAATAAATTATTAACTGATGGGGGAGACACGAACCCTAGACTTAACGCATACTAAACACTAACGCTATCCACTACACTATACACGCAACTACAATATTTGAGCATACAATATTCCTTATATACTCTACACATATTTCATGAAAATTAATTTACATAAACACTAATAGACAATAACAATAATAAATTAAGAGTCATTCCATTATATTTCGACTAAAGTCGTTGCCGACTAATTTTAAAAAATTGTAATATTTTGCAGGAATGATTTTAAAGATATTAGGATCACCGAACAAAAAGAATTTTTTAAATATTTTTTATATTTATTGTAAAATAAGCATCTAAAGTATATGAAGTCGTAAAAACTGTCACATTTTCATCTATTAGAAAATATTAAAGAAAACACATAATTTACTATAAAAACGTAAAAAAATTATTAAAATTTATTAAGAATGAATTATTTTATTATTATAAATTGATAGAAACAATTATTAATAAGAAATATTAAATAAAAAGTAATTTTAAAGTTTACATGAAAAATAACCTATTTTTGCAAATTTCATTCACTAAATATGAGAAAGAGAAATCATTAAATTGGATAAAACCTTATGAAATATAAAGTACCTGTGATTAACTTTTAGTTTTTCTTATCACTTTCTTCCTGTTTTCTTCACAAATATTAAAAAATAAGCAATTAAAATTGGCACTTTGCTTATTTTCACGATTTTCAAATGTAAATAACTTCTGCCTAGAAAAATGAAAAATTACGAAAATTGGGCAATAATTAATTCATCACTAGATACACTCACTGGAAAAAGATTTTCTTTGGTCCCGAAGCTATTTCTCGAATATGTAATAATATATATATATATATATGTATATATATATGTATATATATATATATATGTCCCGAAGCTATTTCTCGAATATGTAATAATATATATATATATATGTATATATATATGTATATATATATATATATATATATATATATATATATATTATTACATATTCGAGAAATAGCTTCGGGACCAAAGAAAATCTTTTTCCAGTAAGTGTATCTAGTGATGAATTAATTATTGCCCAATTTTCGTAATTTTTCATTTTTCTAGGCAGAAGTTATTTACATTTGAAAATCGTGAAAATAAGCAAAGTGCCAATTTTAATTGCTTATTTTTTAATATTTGTGAAGAAAACAGGAAGAAAGTGATAAGAAAAACTAAAAGTTAATCACAGGTACTTTATATTTCATAAGGTTTTATCCAATTTAATGATTTCTCTTTCTCATATTTAGTGAATGAAATTTGCAAAAATAGGTTATTTTCCATGTAAACTTTGAAATTACTTTTTATTTAATATTTCTTATTAATAATTGTTTCTATCAATTTATAATAATAAAATAATTCATTCTTAATAAATTCTAATAATTTTTTTACGTTTTTATAGTAAATTATGTGTTTTCTTTAATATTTTCTATTAAATGAAAAAGTGTCAGTTTTTACGACTTCATATACTTTAGATGCTTATTTTACAATAAATATAAAAAATATTTAAAAAATTCTTTTTGTTCGGTGATCCTAATATCTTTAAAATCATTCCTGCAAAATATTACAATTTTTTAAAATTAGTCGGCAACGACTTCAGTCGAAATATAATGGAATGACTCATAATAAACAATTATAACATTATTTATACGCAATAAACTCACAACGCGATTATATAGACGCGACAGGAGACCGACGCGATGGACAAATTGAGACGACCATTTTAAAAGGCTGCCATGATAATGAATTGCGCGCAACATATATCGAAATTTTGAACTAACTGTGGATCTCCCAACCAAAGTTTATATGGATGAGGCTACTCTGGCTACTATGGCAACTCTTGTATAGGTAGACAGGCAGTCACTGAACTTGTAAGTGTACCTTAACTCTCTGTAACAGTTGCTGGCGGTTTTTCCCCGTTTCTCTAAATAACCTCAGAGAGAACGCCTAAAGTAAATCAGTTGAATATGTTTATCGTTCCACAGATATTTAATAAATTCTTTTTTCGATTTTAGGAAGATATATGTAAAAGGTGAAAGAAAAAACAACATATTAATCAAAATAAACGTTAAATGACTTAATTTTAAAGGAAAAATATATAAAGAGAGTTTAGTTTCAGTGCAAACTAATGATAAATATCATAGCGTCACAATACAAATAAGATTTTAATTTGTTTCTTTTTATTTTAATTACGTTCATGAACACTGCATTGGACTTTTGAATCAGGAAGTAAATATTAAGGATCAAATAGAACGGCTTTCTAGTAGTTTTATTACTTTTATTGAATACAATTTTTAAATAAAGTTTTAATTAAACTATTGCATAGATGTGATGCATCTGCTTTTTAAACCTGGTGACAGAAATTTTCCTATAATTTTAAAATGCATCTTGACTTATGAAAACTTTCATATAAAAATTACGTGAAATGTGTTTCTCTTTGCTATTTTCACGCTCACTTTATTTTTGCTTTAGGAACCTGAATAAAAATAAGAATAAGTCTTAGTTTTTATCAATTTTCTTTAAATTGTTTTATAATATCTATGAACTTTATGTATTATTTACGTAACTACAAAGCTAAATAATCAGAGTTCCTATATATAATCTGGAAATTATTGAAAAAGTATGGGATTTTTTAAAGTTCTCTAGAAATCATAGAAAAGATCTAGAATTTTAAAAAGTTTACACATTTTTCAATTTTTGCTTTTTTCCTCTTAGATAATATAATTTATTCCAAATTTTTTTCGCGGAGAAAACTGGATATTTAAAAGTTGTGACGTGGCAAAAATTTTAGAGAAATTTGTAAACAAAATTAATTTATAAAATTATAAACAAACAAACTCCCTCGCGCCGATCAACAATGGCTGCAGCAATTTCTCAGTTCTGGTCAAAATATTTATTTATAGAATTTATTTATTTTATTGTATTCCCTTTTCATGATAAACTTCCGAGCGAATTCAAAATTAAGACGTTTCCCGGTAATCGCCTTACGAGCAGAAAAGATCGATCATCACACCTGCGCAGATTCGATTTTCCGTTCACTCACAGCAGAAAACTACAACGTCAACCAAACGAAAATCGAATTGACTTGATATACCTGTCACTTTTTAAATTCAACCTACCCAAAAGTCATCTCACAAATAACCCTTTGAGTAAATTAGAATTATTTTTCATATTTGCCGAATTCTAATAAAACCTCAAAATTGTTAAGAAATTGACTATTGAACAGGATGGTCCCTGTCATTTCTCTATATTGTAAAGAGACACCTTTTGCCCAGGCCCGAATTCTCATGTCACTAATCTCAACTTTTCCCATTTTTGATTTTGATTAATTTTGACTAATTACCTTTCCCTTCACGAGTGACAATCAGAGAATTCTGGAGGTTGACGACAAGGAAAATACGAATTGAAAAGTAAAAATCTCAGGAAGCGAGATATTACAACTTAAATTATACCTCGGTGTCACTATTTTCGAAAGTAATTACGCTCCTGTTTTCGGCGGACTAATACAAGTTTTGGGACCATGGTAACCGGCGGGGTGAACGGAGAGGAGGAATCAAGGCAGCATGCTCATCAGGAAAATTGAGGCTCCGGATCTTAAAAGGGCACACGCGCGAACACACGGCAAATAATTTGGCCCCTGGAGATAAAATTTTGAAGTTGTTCAAAATGAATTTTAAATTATTGTTTCTTGTACAGAATTTCAAGGCGAAACTTTTTTTCTAATAAAAAATTTTTATATAATTTCTCGTTTTCACGTAAATTGAAAAAAAACGTGATTTTTTAAGTTAAGAAATTTTAATGAATTTTTGACTTCAACTCGTGACTACTTCGTTAAATATTAATATTTTTCCACGAAATTTACACACAATATTCTTCAAACTATTTCAAGAGTGAAACAAATTTGGAAATTTAAAAAAAAATTGTATGTAAAAGTAAATAATTATTTAAATAATTTTGTCGGAAAAATGATTCTCCTATTTTCAATTGAAAAAGTTGAGTGACGAATTTTCGTTTTCGGAAAACTTTCAGCGACAAAAATGTTCATTAATATGTTAGGATGTTTTTTGGAAAATATCTCGCCATTTGATAATAAATTAAAGACAATAGAGCAATTTTAACATCGTCGCGCTTTGCTGTAAAATTGCGGCGTGGCGGCGCACGTGTAGCATGGCCGCCATTACAAGACCAATGTATATATAGTTAGACATTGTTTACATTTACAGCAGAGCGCGACGATGTTAAAATTGCTCTATCGTCTTTAATTTATTATTAAATGGCGAGATATTTTCCAAAAAACTTCCTAACATACTAATGAACATTTTTGTCGCTGAAAGTTTTCCGAAAACAAAAATTCGTCACTCAACTTTTTCAATTGAAAATAGGAGAATCATTTTTCCGACAAAATTATTTAAATAATTATTTACCTTGACATACAATTTTTTTTTAAATTTCCAGATATTGTTTCACTCTTGGAATAGTTTGAAGAATATTGTGTGTCAATTTCGTGGAAAAATATTAATATTTAACGAAGTAGTCACAAATTGAAGTCAAAAATTCATTAAAATTTCTTAACTCAAAAAATCACATTTTTTCCAATTTACGTGAAAACGAGAAATTATATAAAAAATTTTTATTAGAAAAAAAGTTTCGCCTTGAAATTCTGTACAAGAAACAATAATTTAAAATTTATTTTGAACAACTTCAAAATTTTATCTCCAGGGGCCAACTTATTTGCCGTGTGCTCGCGCGTGTGCCCTTTTAAGATCCGGAGCCTCATATTCGTATCGTCCTCTTTGGATTTAGCAGCCTACCAGGACAGCAGTTCGCTATTGTACTCTTCGCTACAATTTCATTATAATTTCTATTTTTTTTAAAGTGTGATAGTTGTGTTCGCTAATTCACCAATCTCTCTTCCTTATTACGAACTTCAATCTTCGAAATGTAAGTCAGGTCACAACCTTCTCTATTTTTTTGTAATAATGTAATTTTCTTTCTTTAATTTTTTTTTTATAATGTAACAAGTGGTTCAGCCGGCCTCATGGTCAAGTGAGAATGTATAAGTAGCGTGTTAATTTCTTAACTTTCCTGTTTGTATTAATTTTGATGTAATTATTTTCCTTTGTTTTAAATATAACAGAATATTATTTTATTTAAAATATTAATGTGTGATTTAGAATTTGTTAATTTCTTTTACTCTCACTCGACCATGCTGCCAGAGTTTCTCATGTGTTTCTTATGTTTTTCTTTTATTATAATTTCAGCCAAAAACATATATCTATATTGTTGTTAATTTTGTCCCAATGATTATCTTGTGTGTAAATTGTAAATGAAGTTGCCTCATTTACAATAAATTCCCTCCTTATATTCGATTTTATTGAAAAAATCCCTAATTAATAAATAGAGTTGTTCCATTTATAATTGTTAATTAATTATTTTGTCCCTTATATTCAATTTTATCGAGAAAATCCCTAATTAATAAATAGAGTTCTATTTATAATTGTTAATTAATTATTTTGTCCCTTATATTCGATTTTATTGAGAAAATCCCTAATTAATAAATAGAGTTGTTCTATTTATAATTGTTAATTAATTATTTTGTCTCTTATATTCGATTTTATTGAGAAAATCCCTAATTAATAAATAGAGTTGTTTTATTTATAATTGCTAATTAATTATTTTGTCCTTTATATTCGATCTTATTGAGAAAATCCCTGATTGATAAATAGAGTTGTTCTATTTATAATTGCTAATTAATTATTTTGTCCTTTATATTCGATTTTATTGAGAAAATCCCTGATTGATAAATAGAGTTGTTCTATTTATAATTGCTAATTAATTATTTTGTCCCTTATATTTTATTCTATTGAGAAAATCCTAATTTTAATAAATGGAGTTGTTCCATTTATAATTGTTATTCATTTATTTCGTCCCGGATATTATATTTTACTGAGAAAACCCCTATTTTCAATAAATGAGTTAGTCCCATTTACAACTAAATTTGTCCCTTATTTTGTGAAACCTAATAATTTTGACGAACTGTTTTGTCCCGTTCTCCCCAATTTTATGTGTAATATTTTTAGATATAAGTTGTAATTTTGCAATAATAATAATTATTGGCTGCACCCTATCAAAAAAAGTGTATTTAAGTAAAAAGTGACATAAAAAACAAAGTAAAAAATGGAGTTACTAAGTACTTAACAAATGACGTTTAAATTAACGTAATTTTTTGGGATAAATAATGACGTCATTTTTTAAGTCTTTTTTTATGTTGTTTTTTATTTAATTTCTTAATGATATTTTTAATTTTTTCTACTATTTAATGTCTCTTTTATGTATGCGCAAATGATAAAAATATGTACTGTTGAAATTTTTTTTTAATTTCAGTTTCGGATCAAACAGAAAATAAATTGATATTTTTAATTTAGTTGCAGGTAATAATTCTAAATGAAATGTAGTTTGTTAATTTAATTTCGGGTAAATCAAAATTATATTAATTTTTTTCATTAAGTGTCGAAGTAACATAAAATTAATCTCAGATTATAAATTTATTTTGTATTGTATCAAAATTAAAACAAATATTTTTGCTATGGTATTATTTAAATGGAAATAACAAAACATTATATTCAAGACTTTATTTAAAATATTTATAAATGCTATCAAAACTTAAAATTGCATATTTATTACAGTGATACCAAATGTGATTAATAAAAGACACTTTAAGAAACTTGAACATTTTGTCCGTCTTTTAATTTTCTTCTCTCGTAATATATTTTCTCAGATAAATATTTCCACGTTTTGTCTACTCTCCTCTTGCGTTGTGCACCTGTAATTTTTGCTTTGGTAACTTTTTCATAGAGCAAATCTGAAATGTAAGTAAAGAAAAATTTTTAATAGATTCAGAAAATTTATTTTTGTAAAATTAGAATTTTTAAAATAGAAACAAGTAATTGTGGTCTTAGAATGCAACAAGGGGATACGCGCCATGTTAACTAAATGGTACATATCTCCATGTTGAACGTAAGCCAGCTTAATTGTACTCAATTATTAAGAACGCATATAAATACAATTCAACTTATTTATTTGTCTGATTTATTCATTCATGATTTATTCATTCATTAAGTGACAAATTTTAATATCAATTAAAATGTGAAAATGATTTATATTTGTAAGACCTTTTACGAATTTGTATTTTGAGGGCGTTAGAACCTGTCTAACCTCATCCTCATTTGCATGCTTATGAGCTCTTGTTTAATTAAGACATTTCTTTTGAAGACCTTCTCTTCCCCAGATTTTTACAGCTAATTCCTTGACGAATTTAGAATCGTTTTTAAGTTTCATAGATTCCCATACATCCAAGTGAATATGAACGTTTTCACCAACATGTACCTACAGAAAAAATAATTTTATAAATATGCTTTTATTTTTTAACAACGTTATTATTATAATATACATATTCATGAAATCTTTTCAATTGCTTAAAAAATAATTTATTTATTTAAATTAATTAAATAACATTTACTTTAAATACTAAATTTTCTTTGTTTTAAATATAACTTATTCCATTTAAATAAAAGTTATTCCATACAAATGAATATTCATTTGATAATATACAAGTATTAATTATTTGAATTAAATTAATTTTTTTCAGTGTATACTTACTTGATCATTGTCCACAATTTCCTCTACCCTTTGAAATGCATTATGTGCATTTGTATTACGGACCTCTACTTGGCGAGAATTTTCATTTGATGTCTCTTGATTGTGTAAATCAGTCAACTATAAGTTTTAAATGCACGAAAAGAATAAAATCTATAGATACCTTATACTTTATTTTTTAATTGTTTTAAATGTTCTTTTAAATTTAAAACTGTTTAATAAACAACTATTCAAAATTTATTTTATTAAAAACTAAAAGAAATTTATGGAACTTACTGTTACCTAATGTGTCTTCCAACTCACCTTCAGTAGACGGACGTATATTTGGAGGCGAACGAACTGAGCGTCGATCCAACACTTTTCTATTTGTCCTATTCGAATTTGAAAATAAAGAGCGTGAATGCCCACGAGTTTTACTAGATGCAGAGGATGAAAGGTCGCCAGTACGGTCATGTGATGCGTCTTCCTCATCTTCAGTAGACGGACGCGTATTTGGAGGCGAACGAACTGAGCGTCGATCCAACACTTTTCTATTTGTCCTGTTCGAATTTGAATATAAAGAGCGTGAATGCCCATGAGTTTTACTAGATGCAGAGGATGAAAGGTCGCCAGTACGGTCATGTGATGCGTCTTCCTCATCTTCAGTAGACGGACGCGTATTTGGAGGCGAACGATCTGAGCCTCGATGCAACAAATCTGGAAAAATAAAATAGTAAATACACTGAAAAAAATTAAATAGATAGTAAACTGACATACTATAACAAATATGTACTTTTATTGTTAATTAGAATATGTACTTTTATTGTTGATTAGAAATTTTACTTTTAATAAAATTGTATAAATTTATTATTAAAACTTTCCGGAATTTTAAAAAAATGTGCTTACTTACTCTGAAAAAACTGAAATATTACTTGAAATTGCACAGTTGTTTTTAAAGAATAGGTATATTGTCCCGATTTACCCCAATTGACTCTATTAGCTAGTATTTAAGAAGTGATTGTAAAGTAACTCTTACTATTGTTTGAAGTAGGACCAAAATCATCATTATGAAAAAGAATGCGTGTGTCCGTTGAAGTCGACGGAGAAAGAATCGTATCTAGAAATAATTTATTCAATTTTGTGAAAAATATTATATTGTATGTATACGGGCAATTCTACGAAAAAGTGGACATTTTTGTATGTATGAAAATGTTAAATTTAAATTTTGGGGCATAATATATAAAGGATATACATAATTGTAATGTCGTTACGCACGGATAAAAATGTCTGCCTCTTCATGCACATACATATAAAAATCTTACCATTAGTTTCCTCATTTTCCAAAGAATCTTCGTCAGATTCTTGAAAAGTTTTTCGTTGCTTTAATAATTCTGAACGTCTTTCAAAAATTTTATTATGCTCCCTTTGTTTGGCTTCAGCGGTTGGGAAGTTTTTTTTTTCTTAACAACCTATAAAAAATTAGTGATTTTTTATTTTCTTAAAGATATGAAATATATGAAATATGAAACTGACACTAGCACCCAATTAATTTTTAAAGTTAAATATTCTTTTTAGCTTCATTCAAAGAACTTTAAAATATGTAAATTATTTCAGAAATTATTTTACTTTCAATTAAGCAGTGTAAACTCAAAATTTTTTAAATATTTCTAGAAAATTAATCAAATTTTTTGTTTGAGGTTTCATTTTTAAAAATTGTTAATATTTTTTAGTGGTTTAGAGGGTAAAAATGTTAATATATCCAAAAAATAAAAAATTCTTTAAAGCATTAAAAAAGTAGCATTAACATTTTTTGTAAATAGTGTACTTTTAATTGACAGCTAGTATGTATATATGACAAAAAAATTTCCTAATTGAATAAATAATGTATTCCATTGTTTTTTTTTAATTACAAAATTTTAATTACAAAATTATCTATTGAAGTTTATAAAATGTTTACGTAATTGTTGGAATGTCAAAAATTACTTTACCTTCTTTTGTTTCTTCTTTTTGCCTGTATCTGAGGAGAAACTTAAGTTACGGATGTTTGGTGTACTTAAACGCTTAAGCGCTTTCTGCTCCTTAATATTCGCTTCATTGGCTAAAATTGAAATAATAATAAATCCATTAATAATACAAGAAAAGTTACAAATCATCGTATTTTTTGTCTGCAATGTTAATTTTTTTTAAGTTTTAGTGCATTATAATTAACTGCATCTGCATATATACGCCGTGCGGAAGAAATATTATTTTTTAATCTTTAGATTTTTATAAAATTATTATCAATGATATATTCAAAATTGATTATTTAATTAAATATAATTATACTTGGTTTTATTAAAACAATAAAAACTTAAATCTTTAGTTTAGACGGTTCTTTTCTGCTTCTAAAACATCTAAGTAAGAATTTTTGAAACATAATAGATCTAAAACTTGAAAAATTTTATTTTTTTCTAAATGTTAATAATTTTCCTGTAGTTTTTATATGAAAAATCACTATGTAAAAGTATTTTTCAAAAAAAAAATTTTATTATAGTTATTAACATTGGAAAATGTTTGATAATTTTTTTTAAAATTAGTAACAGGAAAATTTTTTATCGATTTCAAATATTAAATCGGCATATTGTTTTTTAATAAATAAAACTATTGTTTATTTTATGAAGATCCAATATCTTTAAACAAAAACATTTTTTATTTAAAATTTAGATTCAAGACAAAAATAATGCCGTTTGAATCTTTGAAATCTGTCAGCAAGATTTTCTGTTATTAATTTTGTTAAAAGAAGTAATAAAAATTTTCAATTGTTAATAATAAGAGTAAAATTTTTTTTTGAAAAATCCTTTTACATAGTGATTTTTTAATGTAAAATGCTATAGAAAAGTTAACATTTAATAAAAAATAAAAATTTTCAAGTACATATTTAATATACCACGTTTCTGTAATTCTGATTGATGTGTTAAATAATAAATAAACAGTCTCTACACAATATGTTCAGTCATTTTAATTCAAAACAAGATATTAATATTAAGTGTAAATTTTTCTCTTTCTAGAAAATATAATATAAAGAAACAAATTCAAAACAGTTTTTATTTCCGTTTATTTGTTTAACTAACGTGCAGGCTCTGGGTCACTTACCTTATTTCTATCATTCTTATACTTGAAAAACAATTGATTTTGATTAAATAACTAAATTAAATGCATGGTCTACTAAAATTAATATTACTAAAAATGTAACTACCAAAAATATTATGGTACTCCCATATAAATGACAAAATTTTAATTGTAATATATGAAATTAAATTTTTGTGCTTTAGTATATATAAATTTCATAAAAAAATTGTTTTCCGAAATTTTAAATGTTTTTGTAGGTATTGTAAATAATTTATTTCTTAAATTAATATAAATAATTGATACTTTTAAACTACTTTTCAGATTTTAATTATAATTATTAACCCTTTAATGGCCAGTGGTACACATACGTACCACCTACTTCAAAAAATCATAACTTTCCTAAAACTTAACGGATCAAATCCGCTAAGGTCTCATTTTGAAGGGGTGAACGAGAGTAATTAATACATATGCTTCTCATTTTCCAAAAAACTACCCTTTCTGAAATACACCCCTATAAAAAACGCGAAAAATGACAAAAATTTTAAAAAAGGTATAAATTTAAGAAAAAAAATTTTTTTCGGCTTACGCAGTAACAAATGTTTAAAAATATTGTAATCTTTGTAAAAAAAAATTAATAACAAAAATTTTCCTCGGGGTAAAAAGAAAATTAATGAAAACTACCCCCAAAAAACAAAACAATTTAAAAATCTACCGAATTCGCCTAAAATTTATTACTCGGGGGTTTTCGAGGTCGCTGATTACGAATCTGATGTCAGTATTCAAAAATTCAAAATGGCGGATCCAATATGGCGGCCAATAAATTAAAAATTCATCATATTCGCCTGAAACTTGTTACTCGGGGGTTTTCGGGGTCGCTGATTACGAATATGATGTCAGTTTTCAAAAATTCAAAATGGCGGATCCAATATGGCGGACAATAAATTAAAAATTCATCATATTTGCTGGAAACTTGTTACTCGGGGGTTTCCAATGAATCCTTTCAGTATGGAACGATAAAAGAAAAAAAGAGAAAGGAATAAAAATTGCAAAAGGTAAAATGTCGTAAATTGGTTAAAATTAATATAAATTATCTTTTTCCAGTTTTCAGAATCACAATTGTTCAACATTGATAAAAAAATATATCAAACCATTTACCCAATATACAAAGATAATAACAAATTTCTCCAATAAAACTATAATTGTATCTACGAACAGTTATTAAATAGGGGTGAGTTCTGAGGATGCTGTTTATTATTATTTTCATCTATAACTGTGTAATTCTGAAAAACATTTTATGATTTAACCCTTTAAAGCCCGAATTATTTCCACCGATTCGATTTCAACCACACTTGGTATATAATGGTTTTTGGGGTCGCTGATTACGAATCTGAAGTCAAAATTGCAAAAATCAAAATGGCGGATCCAATATGGCGGACGAAAAAATAAAAAATAATGGGATTTATATGAAACTTGTCACTCGGGGGTTTTTGGGGTCGCTGATTACGAATATGAAGTCGAAATTGCAAAATTTAAAATGGCGGATCCAATATGGCGGACAAAAAAAATAAAAAATAATGGGATTTATATGAAACTTGTCACTCGGGGGTTTTTTGGGTCGTTGATTGCGAATATGAAGTCAAAATTGCAAAATTCAAAATGGGGGATCCAAAATGGCGGACAAGAATTAAAAATTAAATAGGATTTACTTGAATATTGTTACCAGCTGACTATCATTTATTCTTTTTCATTCAAGTCATGCGCTCCAGGGTTGTCAATTGTTTTTATTGATTGGCCAGCTGATTATCATTTGTTCTTTTTCGTTCGAGTCAAGCGTTCCAGGTTTCCTTTCACAAATGGATTAAATTTCTTACTTTTTTTAAACATAATTCGCCCTATTAAATCCACCATTATGATTCTTAACATTTTAACCTCAGAAACCCCAAAAACCCAAAGCATCAAATTTAATGTAAATCCCATTAATTTGTTATTTTTTTGTTTTTCATATTGTATCCGCCATTTTGAATTTTGACTTCATATTCGTAATCAGCGACCCCAAAAACCCCCGAGTGACAAGTTTCATATAAATCCCATTAATTTTTATTTTTCGTCCGCCATATTGGATCCGCCATTTTGAATTTTGCAATTTTAACTTCATATTCGTAATCAGCGACCCCAAAAACCCCCAAGTGACAAGTTTCATATAAATCCCATTAATTTTTATTTTTTCGTCCGCCATATTGGATCCGCCATTTTGAATTTTGCAATTTTAACTTCATATTCGTAATCAGCGACCCTAAAAACCCCCGAGTTACAAGTTTTAAACGAATCTGACTAATTTTTTAAAATTTTTTCGTCCGTCATAGGAGAAAATGTATCTTGACACTTTTTTTATTTATTATTATTTTAATTATTTATTATTATTTTTTTACTTTTGTTTTTTTTAATTATCTGCTGGAAGAGTTTTACTAGAGCTAAGAATTTAAAATTTTTAGTAATATGTATTAGTTTCAAAGTTATGATGACTTTAATGCATTTGTGGTACAGCGTATGTACCACTGGGCGTTAAAGGGTTAAAATCAATTAGAATTAATAATTTTTAAAAATCTAATACAAAACTTTTTATCATGAAAGGGTGGTTATTTGACCTTAGGGTTATTTTTTTAAGGGTAGTTTATATTTACTATCATTACCCAGTCACCATAAAAATATTTTTTCGTATTTTCGAAACGTATAGAATTAATAGAAATGACTTTTTTAATTGTTCAAAACTATTGACAGTATGTAAGAATAATTATTAAATAGGGGTGAGTTCCAAGGGGGGGGGTGATTAACATTATTATCCATATCTGTGTCACTTAGAAACATTTTTTTATAATTTAGATGCATTTAGAATCTATAGATTTTTTTTAAATATTCACAAAAATTAATATCGTCAAGAGGTGATTATTTGACTTTGAGGGTGATGTTCAAGTGGTTATTTATAATTCTTTTTCATTTTTTAACAACCAGAGAATATTTATAAATAATTATAAAGCTGACAGGAGCTAAAAAATATTTAATTTATTGCTTAGATTAATTATCAATTTTTTAGGGTAGTAATATACGTTAGGGGTGGTTTTAAGGGGTGGAACATGTTAAAAAAAATTGTTTTTTCATATTGAATAATAGAATAACCGAATTTACTAAACATTATACGTTTATAATAACGACAAAAAACTCGGCCATTAAAGGGTTAAGAACCTGAATCATTTACTATCATGTCTTAATAAAGTGTTTAAATAAATAATTTGTGTAAAAAATTTACATACAATGTATTTTAGTAATTTTAAAACAAAAAACATGTTAATATTCATAGTTTATATTCACTTACCTCCTAACAACAAAATATAACCGTTTCGTAAAATATCGCTTGATTCTTTATTTCCATAGAACCATATTTTTTATTTTTTATTTTTCACGAAGTCATTAAGTGTTTTTGGTGAAAAGTTTTCTATTGACGAAAAAGGAACGATTCGTTTTTCACCGTTGCCAAATAAGGCGTAAGCCACATTTAATTTCGACTTTGCCATTTTTGAAATAAATATATTTTTCTAAAAACAATTAAACTCATGCCGGCCGGCAAAATAAAGATGGTGGTTCTCAATGTAAAACAGATAAAATTGTACAATGTATATAGGTTGTGTGGAGCATCTCAAATTAGTATATTGTAAAGACACATTCACAGCTGGGTGGATGCCTGTCTGTGAGTAGACGATACAATGAACCCGACATAATGGACACAAATATATTTCTGTCCTTTTCTATGATTACGTTCTCGATTCTCGAACGGTGTTTCGTAATATTATGCGTTAGCCTTATGGTACAAAGAAATAGAAATATGTATTCCTTACCGTTCACGAATTACAAATACTGAATTGAGAACCATTCTTTCCGCCTTTTCCGATCATCTTAAACTTTTTAAACCTCTCCTAATAATTGTCACGTGTGTTTTAAAATCGAGTCATCTTGTTGGGAGAAATTGTGAAAAATTAAACATTTTAAAAGTGGAATGTGTATTTGAAAGTAAAGTACATATTTCTTATGTTCAGTTTTTAG